ATATATATATATATATATATATATATATGTGTGTGTGTGTGTGTGTGTGTGTGTGTGTAAAGAGAGATATACAGTAGGTCAGTCAGTAGCACTGAGACAGTATAACCAAGTTATCAACCCACTGGCCCAGGCACCACCGGCCCACCGGGATTTTGCCCGGTGTCCCAATCCGTCCCTGGATTCGTTCTATCTTTGAACTGCGAGGCTTTACCAAAATAATCAAACTGTTCGTTTTTGTTTTGACATCTTTCAAATCTTCCCACACAAATATGTCAGTAACGTAATATACACAGGATATCACATATTCCTATGACAACTGAAAATGGGAACTGTTTTATGCGCTAAAATATTAAAGATCAAATTAACTTATTTAATGGAAGCAGCATATTTATAAATAATAATTTGTTAAGAGCTTTTAGGCTGTAATAAAATAATTCGCCATGAACTAGTTTTATCCCCTGGTTGGACAATGGTATGTCTATGGGCTTAAAGCATTAAAATTCAGCGTTTGATTCCTTGGCATGGTTTTGCTTAAACAAGAACAAAAATTTTAAGAAGACCAGATGAAACCTTGTCCAGGGCCTTTACACTCTTTTTAGGCGGGAATCTAGCGACTGTTTGTGTAATCTATTACGCTGCCTTCATATTCTATGAGAATTAACATAACCATAGAGATGGATATAGACAAAACCATACTTGTCCATAAACGACAGAATTAACCTGTATGCGATTTTGTTTTGACGCTAATGATTATCTTTTAATTTCACCATCCATGACCTAGAAGTATCACTGAATCACATGAAATTCACTTTTCTTAGTTTTTGTTTGTAAAATAAAATTCCCTAATGCTAACCGGGTCGGTAACACAAAATATATAATTAATAGTTTTCCTGACAAGTGGGAACTATACACATATATACATGTACACTGTTCCTGTGTTAAACTTTGTTCCGTGTTTTGTTTCATGCAAAAATTATTGTAAATCATTTATGAAATTTTTGGCTATCTTTTATTTCAGTGAATAATGTCTTTTATTGCTATTTATTTACAACATAAGTTCCTACTTTTGATAACGAGTGATTTAAAAAACCCTATCATGTTTGAGTTTTTGCACATACAATGTATTTAAAAAAAATTAAAATATCATGTTTGTTTGTTTGTTATAAAGCAAAGCCACATTGGGCTATCTGCTGTGTCCACCCCAAGGAACCGAATCCCTGATTTTAGCATTACAAAGTCCGTAAACTTAAAATCACTAATACAAAAGTAAACAGTCCCTTTACTAATCACACTGAGTGTAACATTTCAGTTCAAAGATAACGTATCAGTTTTAAAGTGCCTTTTGATCCTAAAGGTCTAACAAAGAGTTGCTTAAAATTTCTGTAAAATCAAAAAGTTAAAAATAATTTCTAATAGTTTCAGTATCCTTAACAATACATTAAAAAACTTTGACGCAGTGTTTACACGTATAAGACTAGGATTTTTAGCTAAAGGCCAGTGCTACCTAAACATAATGTCAAGTCATATTTAAATATTTTATACTGCAATACAGTTGGTGTAACTGTGTTTTAAATTTGGGCTTTATCATCTTTGTTTTCCTTTTGTCACAAAGAATATACAAATAAACCTCTTGTGAATTATCTGACACAGACCTTGAATCGAATTGTGATAATTCGGCCAGTTAACCCAACTTTTTAATTTTATTTTTTGTTGAAAAATCATTAGAATGAAAAGATTAATAAATATACATAATGGCAGATGGAACAATTGACTATTATAGATATTGTATAATCCACAAGAATAAAGAATATTATACTGACCTTCAAAAACACGTGTTTTTTTTCTTCCTTTTTAAACCTTTTAAGAATAAAAATGCATACACAAGAAATTTCAAAAGTAAAATTTAATATTCAAATATTTTATCTACACTATGTAGTATCCATGGTTATAATCTAGCAAAAGTTAACATTTTCCTAATCTGAAAATGCATTTCCGATAGATACTCGCCTCCTCACAAAGAAATGCTATTTCCTTGTGCTCTGTCCGCCTGTGAGATTTGCATGCTACTAGCCTTGAGCTAACTCCACCTAAATTCACGTGTTGAATAACGTGAACTGCGCTGGTGTATTAAGTCATCATGCAACAATAGATCTCCACCAACAAGAGAGGGCACACACCCTCCATGCGTAGTAACTCCCACTATGAGCTTGTACTCATGATAACTTCATTCTTAGATGAAGTAAGAAAAAGGCACACCAGGAGTGGGGAGGTCGGTTGGGACTGTGTGAAGAGGTATCTATCGGAAATATAATTTCGGATTAGAAAAATATTAACTTCTGAGAAAACTCACTTCCACACACAGAAATGCTACAATCCCACGTTGAAATGGTGAAGTGGCCAGTACAAAATTTTAACTAGATGAGCTCCCTTCAGAAAATGCCTGAAGGAAAAGTTAATGGAATGTGACATCTGTATCATAACAAAGGAGTCACAAACATGAGGGGGATGAGGCATGTGGGTGCAAGAGTAGAGCTGTTTGAGAAAGGAAACTATAAACCCTAATGTCATGCAAAGAATGAAAGACAAAGCAATCGTGATAACTGGGTTTATGGAGTAAAGAACGGGAAATATTAAAAGATGCAGGTAAAAGATAATGAAAAGAACATACCTGAGAAAGCATATCCAGAAGGAGTTTGGAAGATTGAGGACATTCCTAGATAAGTGAGGCATTACCCAAAGCAAATCAGGTTAAAATAATCATCCAACTACCCACTTACAATTGAGAAGAAAGAACATCAGCTGAAAGGATGGTAGGAGGAGACACAGTAAGCATAAGGTAATCCACAACACAATGAACAAAGGATAAAACGTCTCCAACAGCTAACGATCCTCAAGAAGCCATAGGAAAAAGAGAGCCTGTGCATGTAATGTCACTCACACAGGACAAGTAGAAGCTATTATCACTTGAGCATTCATGAAAAGAGTTAAAGATTTTGAAAAAAAAAGAAAATCCCAAGTTTCATTAAGAAATGTAAATCTCATCAGTTTGAACTCAGATGAGGAACTTTCAACATGTCTATTCAATGTAATGCCCAGGAAAAGAATGAAGTTATCATAAGTGCAAGAGCATAAAGGAGTTACTAAGCATGAAGGTTGTGTTGCTCTCCTATTGATGGAGGGTTATTGTTGCATGATGACACCAGCACAGTTCATGTTAAATATCTGATTTTAGATGGGAGTTAGCTCAAGGCTAGTGGCATGCAAATCACATAGGCAGACGCATGAGAGAAATAGCATTTCTATGTGAAGAGGTGAGTTATCATCTCGGAAGTAATCATTTCAATATTACATGCATCTTATGGCAACTGTTTCACTATACTGATTCAAAATACAATATATAAGGTTAATGTACAAGTGGAATAGTATTTCCTAAAGCTTGCTTCAGACACTAAAAGAGTAATCAAAACACTTATTTTCAGAAGATTACAAGAGCATAGCCAGCCAGCCCAGAATAAGCAGATTCCCACCATACGGTGTGAACTTTCCAGCATGTTTGTTTCCTGTGATTGCATAGATATAGCAGGAACCACAGAATATTCCCATTCCAAGTAACAATAGAGTTCCAACCTAAAGAATAGAAAAGACAAATTATCTGTCTGATCAAGAAAAACTGAAAAATTATTTACCAAAGCTTTTGTTAAATAAACAACTGAATGAGTACTTTCTGGTGCTGCATATGTCAAAAAAGAACAATTAAAAGAAATTACAAAAATTCCCAGATCCATGGTTTGTTTTTAGGTCTTCTAAGTTTCCCATTAGATTGCTTTGTTCTTCTGTACATTAGATCCAGCTAGTAACTCTGCCATGAAACCATAAATTATTGCTCAAACCACTTTATTTACTTTTTAATGCAATAAATAATTTATAATATGCTATATTTAATTGTATTTAAATGTTGCCTATAGCTATTTTCCAAGCTGTGCTTCATTAGGTGTTCATACTAACTACCATGACATCATAAAAGGGGTGAGAATTGAGGCTGTAGTAAATTAGTAATAGAAGATGTAGATAATTATATTCTTAATGGAAAATAGTTTCTTAACAAATATATATATCTAAACTTTGGAATAGAGAGGAAAATTCTAAAAAAATTGACAAATATGTTGTTAACAGGCAAAACTCTTTGGAGCTACACAGAAATGAGAGTTAGAACATTTCTGTGTGTGTGCGAATTTACACTAAATTATTATTGTTACTTAAAGCTTGAAATCTGATATGCATGTGTGCACTTGACACCTGAATAGTGCTCACCAGTTGTAATATGAGTATTATCATATTATGGCATTTTTACATCTGCAGTTCAAAATAATTTTTACTATGTAACTTAATAATTTGACAACACAGTTTGTATGTACAGGAAAAGCAATGAAATATAGAAAAACTATAATTTTTAACCTAAAGAATAAAAACTGGTATATCTAACTAAACTTAATAAATAAAGGGCTTATAAGAATGTATTATCAGTTTTAAAAAATGACATACATTCTGACAAATAAGTATATAAAGAAAAAAATCTTTTTTGAATAATAAAAATGTTAAAACAATTATATTACAGATTTATTTTCACAAAAAGTAAAATTGAAAATATCATCTCTGATGTTGGGGCCTAATGCATTCTTTGATTTGCTGCACCCTCTGCTGTGGTCTATATCTATATTGTAAATGGCCTAATTGTTTTTCAGTGGTTTGCTAAACCAAGCTGTATTGATAAGCCTTGAATAGTCAATAACTACAGTCCAGAGCAGAGGGTGCAGCAAATCAAGAAATGTGTAAAGCCCTTACATCACAGATTATATTTTCAATTTTAATTTTGAAAATAAACCTATAATATAATCATTAAAAAGTTGGTCCATTCCATGATATCAAATAATATAGTAGGTGCAATACTAAAATATGATTCACACTCCTAAATTAATTTAGGTCACAAAATGGCATGTTAAAAAGATTCAAAAACCCCATAAAAATGTTGGTTAAAACTCGCACAGAAGGGGTCAAAGTAATATATTTGTAATGATGTAAGACAATCTATATACCCTTTGGGTGATTATACTTTTCACATAAAAAGCAAGCCTTAAAGAAAATGCACACTATTTTCTTTACTGAAAACTTACCAAAACTGGTTTTCTTGTGAGAGGAACAGCTAAAAGGGCAAGGCTATGTAAGAAATGATATCTGTTTGCAGTTTCAAACACTTGTTTTAGTTCATCAGGAACATCTTTTCTTGGGTAATACACTACAAAAACAAGAAGTCATTTATAAATTATGTAGTATATTTATATTTATTTAATGATTCAAAAGATAACCACCTAATATTTCTTAGAAATCCAGGAAATAAATAAGTTCACTTATATAAATCTAAATGCAACTTTTTGGTTGACTTGCAAAAAAGTATAAATAATGAATTGTGGAACAATATGTTGATATTCTAATCAACATAATCTTTTTTTAAAATCTTTATATTATTATGTATCCTTCAATATGGGACTTTAACTAACTTCTTAATATGTTAGCATTTTGTATTCAACTTTTGTATTGTTACTACTTCCTTTCCCATCTCATTATTTCTTAAGTGTTTACAATAATAATTTTCTATATACACTTAGTAAAAGTTATCCTTTGTTCTTTGGCCCACCCATTTCAATTTTGTAAATGTATATAAGATGATACTTCAAAGCATAAAAATATGACATGGACTTAATCGAGAAAGTAATCTGAATAAAATGTAGGCTATTTGTTTTATTATAACAATAAAAAATATTATATAAGAATTATCTTATTTTTAAGCAACTTTGTCAAACAAAAAGTTAAATATTCCAGATAATGCAAAGCTAGCTGACAGCTGTATTTGAGAATTATTCTGATGCAGTTTAATCATAATGTTCCTCCTCCCAATGTAGTTTCAATGGTGTTCAAGTTAGACAGAAGCATTGTGTTATGCTTAACATAAAACTTCAGTTGTCTTGATCAATTTCCAGGAGTTTAACAAAGTGTAAAAAAAATGCTATTTTCTATGGAATAAGTGAGTTAAACATTTATATACACACAAATGCCTAGTGTAAGAAAATAGAAGTTAGATTTTGACACTCCTATATTATAACTGGGCAATTAATGGAATTGTTAATTGATTAATTTTCAAGCTCCTTAATCAAATACATTCAATTAATTGATTAATATCACACAAGAGTTGGAATAACAGTCAACATTAATAATCAGAAACACTAATTTCGATTAGTTGACTATTTTTGTGAGTCATGAAATTAACCAGTTAAGCTGAATAATGAAAAATCATAAAAGGCAATATTTTGATTATTTGGATAGTTGGAAAAAATTAATAATTGGAAACACTAATTTCAATTAGTTGATTATTTTTGTTACTTGCAAAAGTAATCAATTAAGCTGAACAACCTTGAATCAATCCAAAGTAATAATGAAACGTAATTACAGCAATATTTACATTACTTAGATATTTAGAAGAATCAGAATAGTAATAATCAGAAACAATAATTTGATTGTTATAATCAATTAATCAAGTTAATTACCCAGCTCTACCCTTCATAAGCCTCATGTTCTAATAAAATGCTTTAAATTTACTATTCACAGCACTTTCACTGACTTGGTGAAGATGTATGGTAAACCCTCTTTAAGTGTTACTAAATTCCATGTGAAAAATCTGAATGGAATGCTATGCAAGTCTTGTAAAACTGTGAGAAAATTCTTTGTAAAAATTATTGGAATGTACTTTTTCAGAAATTTATTTCATTTTCTATGATATTTTTATACACAGGTATCATTTTTCTGATGTATCTCACTCTGAATTTTTCTTAATACAGTTTAGGCTAAGTTGTTAACCCACAGACTACAGAGAACAAGTTCCTCAAGATTTTTCAGTCATAAATAATTTAACATGTGAAGCAAGTTAAATGCTTTTTTTTTATGGTTTCATATTACAAATTCCTGTTTCTTAATTGCCAGCAGGGTCAAAAGTATGGAATACTTATGACTGCCTTACTACTTGACATTTCTTTGTTTTTGCTTTTTAGGTGCCCTACTTTATAAAACTTTATATAGTGAATCTTTGTTTTCTTATTTCATTTAGGTCTAACTCTGTTTTTCACCTGGGGCTTTACACAATTTCCTATATATATGTGTGTAAATCCTTACAAATGTGTAGTAATATGTACCTATATTGTACTTCAGATACTTCTGTATCATTCCTTGTGTCTTTCACATATTTCAGAAGCTTCAAAAACAAAGAGGTGGATTTGTTAACAGTCAACTGTGACTAATTATACAGAAAAGGGGTATGCTAAAGAAATGTTCAAAGTGGTGGTCTCAACTTCTTTACAAGGACTGGTTAGAATACTTCAGAATGAAAAGTGATCAGTCGAGATTTATACAGAAGAGTACGGATGTGTCTTTTTAATGTAGAAATTTAAAGTCAGTTATTCAATCTATTTATTGATCAAATATTTGACACAAGTGAAAGTGTTCCAGGACAGTTATATTGTTTTTACTAGCTAGTTAATAGTATCTAATGCTATTTCAAGAAGTAGCAAGTCAGCTTAAAATTTTTTAAGTAGTGTATATTTTGCAGTCAAAGTTTTTATTCCAACAACCCTCAAATGAAAAAATACTTGAAAAAATGCATGAAATGCTTACAACAAAACTGTAATATTTATATGGACTTTCAAAGCATCAAATCACTGCATACAGGTGCAAGTCAGTGGAGTGCTGGGCCGAGTGTAATCAATCTCACATGCTATAGTAAAATTTGAGGATAAGACAATATCTAAAAAGATCCCTACCTTCAAGATGAAGCACTATAAAGAAACTTCACAGCACTCACCTTCATCACTAGGTGATGAACAGTGTTTGGAGACTTCTAACTTGCAGGGATTTTTATTTTCATATGGTTGAATTAGTAACCTACATGCTAGATTAAACGTAGACAGGACAGGATTGTGAAAAAGCCATGATCATGAAGGTATCTGAGCATATGTCTTTGTACATCGATTGGTTATTTTCCATGATTTTACAGTACACAGTTAGATATAAAATATGGAGCAACAAAGCTCTGTGAAACCAGCCGATATAATTACATCTTTAACATAATGGAAATGACTAAATGGGAGTTGATATAACAGAGTGGTAAACTTTGCAAGTACTGTATCTATTTGAGAAAGCAATTAGAAGATGTTTAGCAAAATAGTAAAAACTAAATAGTACCAACTCAGAATGAACTGAACAGCCAAACTACTCCACCTTCTCCAAGATATGGATATGGACAATGGCAACAAATAGGGGTTTCATTATGAAGGTTCAGTATGACATCATTCATTGTAGATGAAAGTAACAGTGGCAAAAGGCAGTTGGTGTGAATACATGTTATCAAATAATCCTCCAATACTTGTTGGATGTCCCTTCGTAAGTATACATTATGTTAAACCAAAGTAACAGCCTCATTTGGAATACAGATTCAGTTTTAGTCCCTTTATTATAGAAGATATATTGTTTTCTTTGAAAAACTTTAGAAATGACTACCAAAATGATTCCTTGTTTGAGTACTGAAGCTATGAAGAGGGATTCAAAAATATAAATTTGTTTTCTCTGGAACTTATAAGAACTGGAGGTAATCTGATTCAGGTATTTTAAAATCATTAGGGTCTTGGGTGAACTGTCCATTAGAGATTTCTTGGAGTTGTGGAAGGATAAGATTGTGGATAAAATCTTTGATATTAGAGGTCTAAGCTATGTAAGGCCAGGTACTTGCTGGTTATTAGGCAAAATTGTAGGATTTGTTAACTTATTGAATGGTTTGCCAAATAATATGATGTACCATGGAAATTTGGACTCCTTTAAGTTTTGTTGGATAACATTTTTGAATGAGAGAGGGTAGACTTTGTTTGGGGTGATCTCTTTGTTGGTTGGTCTTGACTGGCCAAATGGCCTACGATCACTTAAGTCTTTTCTTATGTGTTACACGTTCAATATAGAACCAGTAATTTTAAATCTAATCCCTTCTTTCAAACTACCAAGTTATGACAAAAAAAAGACATTTTACTCACAAATGACAGAATTTATGCAAATCCTGACTCCAATGAGCACCATTCCTTTCATTTAGTGAGTTGGGCAAATAAATGACAGATGGGTTTTAATTATAATAAATGCAAGATAATGCATGTGGTTATCATAATTTGAATTATAAATATAATTTGGATGAAAATAACCTTAATAGTGTTATGAAGGAAATTGATCTTGGTGTAATAACCAATCAGTCTCTAAAGCCATCCAAGCAGTGTGCTGTTGCTAGTGGTAGGCCAAACAAGATTTTAGGTTGTATCTACAGAAATATTGAATACAATTCTAAAGAGGTTGTTATTTCATTGTACAAGTCACTGGTTAGGCCACATTTGGAATATTGTGTTCAGTCTTGGACTCCTTACCTTAGAAAAGACATTGAATTGTTGGAAAGGGTTGAGACAAGAGTTACTAAAATGGTGCCTGGGATGGAGGGGTTGTCATACAAGGAGAGGAAGAAATCTCTCAAATTATTTTCTCTTGAAAAAAGAAGACTTAGGGGGAATCTGATTGAGGTGTTTAAGATTATAAAGGGAATTGATAGTGTTGATGTATCATCTTTTTTATACTTAACAATGAGAATAGTAGGACTAGGGAACACAAATATAAATATTGGCAAGGTAGGAGTCATCTTCAGCTAAGACAGTTATATTTTGTAACAGGGTGGTTGGCCTTTGGAATGGGTTGCCTTCAGATGTTGTAGAGGCAGTAAATTTAAGTGAGTTTAAGAAAAAGCTTGATAAGGGCTGGCCTTAAGATTTCTTTTTAATTATTTGAATTTAGTTTAGAGAATGAAACAGCCGAGATGGACCAATAGGTCCTATGTTGTCCCAAAACATTATGTTATGTTATGTTGCTAGTGGCAAGGTAAATAGGATTTTAAATTGTATCTACATAAATATTGAATACAAGTCTAAAGAGGTTATAATTTTATTGCATTATAATTTCTTACCTTAGGAAGAACATTGAATTGTTTGGATGGGTTCAGAGGAGGTCTACTTGGAGGATACTTTGGATGGAAAGGTTTTCATACAAGAACAGGTTAAGATCTCTAAAACTGTTTTCTCTTGAGTAAAGAAGAGTTAGAAGGGATATGATGGAGGTGTATAAAATTGTTATTGGAATTAATAGTGTTGATGTATATCAATTTTTATATTTAATGGTGATAATGATAGGACTAGGGGATGCAAATACAAATTTTGGCAGGGTAGGAGTCATCTTCAGCTATGATAGCCTTATTTTTCTAACAGAGTGGTTGGCCTTTGGACTTCACTACCTTCAGATGTGGTGGATACAGTTAATTTATGGGAAGGCTTGATAAATACTTGAATGATAAGGGCTGGCTTTGAGTGTTTTATTTAAATTTTAGTTTAGTGAATGGGATGAAAGTCTAGATGGACCAATAGATCCTTTGTGTCCTGAAATTATACATATATATATATGTAAAAAGGATAATCAAAAGTTCCACTGACAATACTTGTATGATTCAAAATGAAATAAAAAATTAGTTAAAAGAGACAACATCAGTAAAACAAATTTGCCTATTTGAAAGCTACATTTGTTATGCTGAGAGAACTACACAAAGCAAGTTTTAGCTATGTTTAGTTACAAAGAATAGGTACTTGAAAGGTTGCTTTTAAATAAATTAAATTAGATTTACTTGCATAGTCTCTTTTAAGTTTAACAAGATATTTTATGTCATATCAACATACCTTCCCTTACTCTTGCTTAATACTAATGTGAACACAGATCCACAGTTACTTTTATCGTAGAAACAGTAGAGTATTATTATGGTTAGATGGTTCCCAATTATAGAACTTAGGAGTTCAATAGTAAAATAAATGAAAAAATCATCATTACTGTATTTTTAGTTTCATTAGTAATACTAATAGTAGTTGTACTCTGTTCTATGAATTTATCTTATGTTAAAAAAGTTAGATTTACATTTATAAAACTAATATGGAATACAAACACCCGAAAAACTAAGTTATCATAATTTTATTAACCATTTTATAATTGCAATATTACCGTAGAATTTGAGGAAAAAATCAGCAATAAACATACCATGTGCTCCATACGCCCCCATTACTACTGCAGTGGCTCCACAAATACCAGCAAATCTTACAAAGTTTGATCCTGCTGTTAACGTCGAAATATGCTCAGCAGCAAATTTCTGTCCCGGAAATTTAACGTTACCGGTGCTTTTGGAATAAGATGAAGACACTTCCTCTTTGTTTCCTCTCCATAGTTTTTGTACCCATTTATAAGCACTCTGTGTCGTGGATTGTATGGTTTCCATTTTTATAATATATTTTTAAACCAAAACGTCTAAACTCTAAATACTCTCTGATCCTACGAGATCCTCAATCACACAGTAACCAGATCTGTTATAAGTGACATCTAGTTACAGGAAAAGTAAATAAATTGAGCAAGTTATTATAACATTAAAGTATTTGTGTCAAATTAATAAGTTTTATTTACCAAGAAGAAGAAGAATCGCATACCATGTTTACAAATGATAACATATTTGTTTTTAACTAATCAAAAACTTGTATGATAGTTCTTTAGAAAAATACTTAAGAAAGCTTAGAAGAAACTCAAAAATAAATAACAATATTAATACAATCCAGGATGAACATTCAAGACCCCTCCCCCCGTTTTCATAGCTGAACAGCTATTAAGTTCGTTCTTCCATAACTAGTTTAGAATATATCATTACTCACAAATATTCAGGTAACTTTTTCTAAATTTTTGTTTAGGTGTGCTGCATGTAGTTATGACATTCATGTTAATCGGATACCGAAAGGTCGTAAACATGTGCTAATCCTTTCACTTTGGTAAAGGTTATTAAATATTAATAGCAAAAGATAATAGCTTGAATT